GCGGTAACTTTTTTCTTTTGTAATGCCCAGGTTACTTCCTGTCTCATTGTTGGCATCACCCTCAGCAGTTGACTGAATATTATGTTTGCCAGTGTATCTCTTAAATCAGCTACTATCGAATAGAGAGAAACTAAGAAAGATATTTAGGATAATTCCTCGTCATTATTTTTTCATCTGGTCACAGAAGTTTTCTTAGTTATTAACTTTTTATTGTTCTTTTTTATAGATTTGAATTATCCCTCTACAATCTGACTATTCATGTCATCCTTCTTATTCATTGTCTTATGTGACGTTGTTGATTTACTTTGTTCTGCTTCTGGATGACTCTCCTCAGTAAGTTCTATTCCTGGTTGCTTAATCTGATCTTGATTATTTCTACTATCCTCCATAACTACGTCGATATCCGGAATTAGAAGTTCTTCAGTTTCGCCTAAACCTGCAGTGTCATCTTGGTTTTGCACTCTATTTTTTTTTCGGAGTATAGAAGTAACACTTATGGGTTTCTGCCTAATTTGCCTATCTGCTGGAAAAAATAAAGATTCGTTACCTTCATATATTCCAATATATGAGGCCTGGTCCTCTTGGTTATTCTCAGTCGTAGAATTGTTGATTAGAGCCAATAAAGCCTGGAGGGTTTCTTGCATAACCAGATTGTTGTTATTATTAACGTTAGGAATAGTCTGAACTGGAGGAGCTTGATTAATTGGGGTGGTTCTTACTAGAAGTCTCTGGTTAATTGGAGCTACTTGGTTGGGGTATTAGCAACTAATATGTCCTGGATGACCACAATTATAACATGTTATTCCCAAGTTGTAGTTTGTGTTGGGTCCAGTTTGTCGGGGTCGAGAGAGGGCCTTCTTTGGTCTTAGACTTGAGTCATCATTTTATTGATAGCTTCTGTCAATTTATTCAAAGCTTCCTCCGTCCTCTTTGTGGTTGGGTTTGTGGCCAGTATTATTCTTTGAAACCTGTAAGGGGTATAGTTAACGGACTGAGCTACAAATGCAGGATACACTGAGTTATTCTTGTAAGCGTTTTCAAATACTTTTGCTCTGTTATATGTGTCTTCCAGGGTATTAGGCATTAGAGGTGACATGGCTATAAACAATTCTGGGTGAAGCCCGTTAATGAACATTTGAGCTTTGGCCAAATCAGCATACTGGTTTCCTCCTGATTCCACTCATCTGATCATTTCTTCGATCGAGGTGTGGTAATCGTCAACATTTTCTCCTGGTAATTACTTTCGTTGTGTTAATTAGATAAACCATTTACTCTCTAATACAGGAATCCTAAACTTTGTGACGAAATTAGCTGAGAAACTCTGTTGAGGGAAATTAGGGTCGTGCCATCGATCTATGAGAGGGTTCTGGGTTCTCCTTATGATCCACCACGTAGCAGCGGGGCCCTTAAGCTTTGGAACAATTACTGCAATTTTTCGATTATCACGAATTAAGTTTGCCTCAAAAGCCTTTTTGACATCCTCAAGCTATGTAATTGGGTCTTGGTCTCCACTATTAAACTCTGGGTATGGAATGGTGCTTAATTCTCTTCCATTTCTGGGGACGTTTATTTGGACTGGGGGACCTGCTTGCATTTGCTGCACCAATGCAGCAATTTGGTTAGCTAAAGCTTGTATCGAGTAAGCCATATTTTATCCAAGTTTTTGTTCAAATCCACACAATCAGCACCAAATATTACTATTGTTTGGGAGAGCATTATATGAAGGTGTGCCGGTTTAACTCCAATAGTTAACTTGGGTAGGTATTATAACTGGATTTTATATAGTCTTGGTCGTTTTATATCGAATATATTCACGTGGGGTTATGGGTTTTAATTAAATCGGGTTATCGGGTGATTAACTTAATGGGATCAGTTAATTTTACGATGATACCTTTAAGGATGACGTTAGTGATATAATAGGGGTTTAGAATTAATCAATGTAATAAATGTGTTACCGATTAATTTAGTCAGAGTATGAGGGTTTAGTTTATATGTATAATTATTCGGGGTCAGGTTATGTATCGAAGTAGAATGATTATCAACAAAATTAAATAAAAGAAAATTAACGACTCAATAAACTTTCAATTCTAACACTTTTGAGAATTCGATTCCTAATATCTTTCTTATATTCAAGACATCGAAGTCTGAGAAAACTTTATTAAAGGCAAAAAGAGCCCTTTAAATACATTATTCGTCTACTAATAACTACTGCGTTCTACTCTACAATTCTGCTCTCAATACTGTTCTCAATTCCTCCTACAATTCTTTATCTCCCATCTGATACGGATGGTGTACAGTCTTTACTACAACTTTGCTGACATTATTGCGATGGATCGTCCATAGTACAACCCAGGTCTCAATTCACCCTACAATTTTACTAACAACAACCAGTTTCCTCCTAATTTAGATTTACCTCGCATGCCTTACTTTAACCAGTACCCAATATAGAAATTAAACAAATAAAATATTATATACAAATAAAAATAATAAAAAAATAGAGTTTATCGTGACTACCTAAGCCCCGGGAAATATGTCACGAGAAGACCCATAACATACTCCCTTCCTTAATTCTGAGCTCCCGCGAAGGATTCATTAATTTCAAGAAACTCAGAGAGCTCAAAGTTTCTAATTCTCTCGGCTTCCTCTAATAAAGTCACAAAGTCGTCTTCTGTCATCCTATAAAGGACATTACTGGTGATAGCACGATTAGTTAAGAGGTTATGGAACCCTCTTTTATGATATAGGTGGTAGGTTCTAGAGGCTATTCACCATACTATTTTTTCTTTACTTTCTGTAAATTTTTCCTGCAACCTTTCTCGAACAAGATCTCCCCAGGCCATTTCTTCTAAACATTCTCCAAGATAATAATAATATTAGAGTAAAATGGCCTGATTATGGGGGACCTCCCCAATCTGATCACAAATAAAATTAAATTGTTCAGTCTAATTACTCCCAAGAACCTCTTCGGGGGGATGGGTTGGAAGTCCAGAACATCTAAGGTCTTCGAAATAAGAGTTTAGGGCTCTTGTAAAGGGGTTAGTAGAGATATCCATTGAGATGGAAAGGTCCACAGGTTCGCTCTGTGAGTTATAAAAAGAGATTTGATCAGCTATTATTCGAACTTCTGCGACGTTAGTGTCTCTAAACATTCGATGTAATTTAAAGACGTTTCTAAGGAACTGGGCATTAACTTCTAATTGTCTAGGCATTTTGTTTTTAGGACTTTTAGGCATCTCTGAGGGGACTCCCATTTTTTATAAGTATTCGGATCTTAATAGCACAGGGAAGGTGACGTATTTCTTTAACCTGTTTCTATGTACTATTTTTTAAGAACTTATTCGATCTTTGTTTGCTTATCTTCATTATCTTTGTTTATAGTCCTTAGCTTATAGGCGCCATTACCATATATGTCATGGATATAATAGGGGCCTGAGAATTTCTCCTCCAATTTTGCGCTATGAGATGTTTCCAATGAAGTTTTATGCAGCAATACCTTATCACTGATCTGGTAAGTTTCTATTTTATATTTCTGATCGTGATAAGCTTTCTGTTTTTGCTGAGATTTTCTCACGTTAAGATATGCTTGCTGTCGTGCAGATTCTAAATTTCTAAGCAGAACTTCTACTCTCCTAAAAATATATTCTTATAGGCCTAATTCAGTAATTGGCTCTGCTAGATAAGTAGAAATAACAGTTTCTACTGGGTGCGTAGCCTCCCAGCTATATATAAGAAAGAATGGTTCATGTCTGGTGACATTATGATGTGTTGACCTATAGGAAAACAAGGCCACAGGGATAAATTCATCCTATTCCCCTCCGTACTGCGCTACGCACCTGGCCAAAACTTCACAAAGGTTTCGATTGAACCATTTAACCAACTCATTAGTCTGTGGGTGGTAGGCAGTAGAAGTTCTGTGGTGTATCTTTATATTATCACAGAGGAACTTTACGAGCTTATTACAAAAATAAGTCTCTTGATCTGATAACAGTTCACGTGGGCTCCTATGCCTACAGATAATGTTCTCAAAAATAAATAACACTACTGATTCGGCATCTGCTTTTTCTAATGCACGGGCCTCAGGCTACTTAGTGATATATTCAGTGGCTACCACTATATATTTTTTTCCACTAGTGGTCTCTGGGAGTGATCCAATAATGTCTACGCCTAATCGGTCAAACGGTTGTTCAATCTTTATTGGGTGCAAGGGTTCTCTGGTTTTTGGTCGTCCCTGCCTCGGACAAGAGTCACATGACTCTACATATCACTTTATATTGTTACCTATCTGAGGCCAAAAATATTTAATGATGATCCTCTGGTATGTCGCTTCTTTACCAAAATGTCCGGCCAGAGGATCTGAGTGCATGGTATGCAAGATGGGCTCTACTTCATTAGGCCTTAGCACTCTTAAGGGTCATTGTAGGTCTCATGAGTTATTCTTAAACAATAACCTATTTCTAATAAGGTAATGTTGGGTCTTTTGCTTCATTACCTTTGCTGATATTCCTATCAGTACCTTAGTTCTGCTAAGGTAATTAACAAAATTATCATATGTGTTTATGTCCATAAAAGTCTGTTATAACAATAATAGATTTCCAAAAGTGGCGTCATTACGTATAAACCAAAAAATTAATATTCTTCTTAGGAGATGTTTACTCTAAATTCAGGATAGACTATCAGCGTTAAGGTGAAATTTTCCTGACTTATAAATTGTTGTAAATTCGTACTCCTGCAAGGTCAGGATCTACCTAGCCAGTCTGTTTTGAAGTAATCAGTGAGTAAATAAAGATTTTAATGCCGAATAGTCAGTATAGAGAGTAAAATAAGCTTCGTGAAAGTAAACACGGAAATAGGAAATAGCCTATATGACTGAAAGACATTCCTTTTCTGTTACGGAGTAATTCTTTTCAGCAGAAGTTAGTGAACGACTAGCATATGCTATTACTCTCTCTTTTCTTTCTTTGTCTTTTTGAGAGAGAGTAGCTCTAAGGGCTAGGTCGGAAGCATCCGTGAAAAGGATAAACAGTTGGATGAAATCTGAATATGCCAAAATTGGAGCAGTTACGAGTTTATTTTTTAAACTTTCGAAGGCATATTGACATTCCGAACTCCATTGATACCTAACGTTTTTCTTTAGTAAGGCATTAAGGGGGGTGGCTATATTCATAAAATTAGGTACAAAACGTCTATAATAAGAAGTTAGGCCTAAAAATCTCTGCAGTTGCCTTATGTTTCTAGGGATAGGGAACTCTTGGACAGCGTTTACTTTATTCAGGTCAGTAGAGATCCCGTTGCTGCTAACTACATAGCCCAGGAATTTTAATTCCTTTTTGGTGAAAAAGCACTTTTGGAGTTTAAGTTTTAACACTGCTTTCCAAAGTCTTTTGAACACTTTCTCTAAGTGTTCTAAATGTTCTTGGAATATCTTCGAAAATATATTAAGATCGTCTAGATAGACAACCACAAATTTCCCTATAATATCCTTAAAAATCTGGTCTATCAACCTCTGGAACGTTGCTGAGGTATTTACTAATCCAAAGGGCATAATGTTAAACTCGTAAGCCCTATATAGAGAAATAAAGACCATCTTTTCCTTGTCATCCTCATATACTTCAACCTGCTAGTACCTACTGGCTAAATCTAATGAGGTAAACCAAGAGGACCTGTTAAGGGAGTCCAAAAGTTCATCCACTCAGGGCAAGGGAAAATTATTTCTTATGGTGACAGTATTTAATTTTCTGTAATCTATGCAGAAACGCATCTTCCAGGCCTTTTGCTTAACCAAAACTACCAGGAACATCCAAGGGCTTATAGATGATCAAATTATCCCTTCCTTAAGCATAGATTCTATTTCGTCCTTAAGGAATCATTTTTCTGTGGGAGAGTATCTATAAGTTCGTTGTTTAATTGGTCTGACATCCTTGGTTATTATCTCGTGGCGGACCTTATTCATTCGACCTAGCTCATTAAGGCTCTGAGCACAGAAGTCAGTATTCTTATCGAGCAAATGGGACAATTGCTCTCTTTGTTTTTTTTCTAAGTCCCCTACTTGATATTCAATCCCTACTTGGATCTCATTTTTATAATAGTAGTCGAAGAGGTCCGACATCGGTTTATATTTTTGCTCTCTTAGAGAGATTAAACACATAACTAGCTAAGAGTTAAAATTTATATTTTTATTTTGGAAGTTATTTTTAACTTTGTTCCTATTCTAACCAATTTTATTTAAGTTATAATTTTCATTATCTATTTCTTCAATCTCGAACTATGCGTAAATTTGATCTTCTAACTCTTTTTCCTCATATTCATTTTCCGATTCATCTTCGGTATCTTCCTTGACTTCATCCCTAATTTCTCTAACCACTACAGAGCATTCCTTATCCAATGCGGACTTTGATATCTTATGGAATTCGACCGGAACCGTAATTTCTTTATTATCTCACAAAATTGATATTTCGGACAAATTCAAATTAATAGTTGTATTTACTTTTGCAAGCTAATCGTTACCAATGATGGCACAATATGAATTAGCATCCATTATAATAATGTCTATAGGAATTACTATGCCGCTGATACTGAAAGGAAAGTTAGAAATTTTTACGATAGCCCTCTTACTTTCTCCATGAATGTTAATTATATTCACTACTGACGGCCTTTCAATTCTTATCCCTAGGTCATTTAGAAGGTGAGAAGCAACGACACTTCCGGACAACCCACTATTTACTATAAAGGCGATGGTCCGATCATAGACTTTGGTATCACAGTAAAGGGCTGTAACTTTTAAGACAGGCTGAGTATTAGCGTTACCTTGAACCTTCCTTCGTGCGGTAACTTTTTTCTTTTGTAATGCCCAGGTTACTTCCTGTCTCATTGTTGGCATCACCCTCAGCAGTTGACTGAA